ACAAAATATTACTTTTTGAAAAAATGGCATGCGATAGTTGGTTTTGTTGTGGAATCTGCGTTGAATCTCTTCAGATCAACCAGCTACTTGTCGCATAGAGTATTTAGAGCATGTCATTTGATATGCAAGTGTTCTATAATTATTAGCTTAATGTTTCTGGATCTTTAAGCTTTTCAAACATGATCAAAACGGTATACGTCATCTCTGCATCTAACTCTGGTTGGATATATAAAGTTGGAGCATCAGATGGAGTGTATCCAACAATAGCTTAACCATGAATGATGCATCGGAATGCCCCCTCCCCTTACCCCCCACTTTCCTTTGCCCTACCCTGGTGGCGTGAAGTAATGGGCTTAAAATGTTTCAATTAATTTTTATTGGTACATAACTCAGTCCCAGGCGCTTGTTACGAGGGAAATGACACTTCGGGTCAATAAACTCTTCAAACATGGTCGAATTATAGAGGCTTTGTCGCATTTTCGAACTTAGTAACTTTTAGAGAAGGTCAGCGAAACAATGTCATCTCAACTCTGTCAGCTTAACAATGTCATGTCAACTCTGTCAGCTAAACAATGTCATCTCAACTCTGTCAGATAAACAATGTCATGTCAACTCTGTCAGCTATAAAATGTCATGTCAACTCTGTCAGCGAAACATGTTATCTCAGCTCTGTCAGCTAATAATGTCATGTGAACTCTGTCAGCTAAAAATGTCATGTCAAATCTGTCAGCTAACCAATGTCATGTAAACTCTGTCAGCTAAACAATGTCATCTCAACTCTGTCAGCTAAACAATGTCATGTCAACTCTGTCAGCTAAAAATGTCATCTCAACTATGTCAGCTAATAATGTCATGTCAACACATGTCAGCTAAAAATGTCATGTCAAATCTGTCAGCTAAACAATGTCATGTAAACTCTGTCAGCTAACCAATGTCATCTCAACTCTGCCAGCTAAACAATGTCATCTCAACACTGTCAGCTTAAAAATGTCATCTCAACTCTGTCAGCTTAACAATGTCATGTCAACTCTGTCAGCTAAACAATGTCATCTCAACTCTGTCAGCTAAATAAAGTCATCTCAACACTGTCAGCTTAACAATGTCATCTCAACTCTGTCCGCTAATCAATGTCATCTCAAATCTGTCGGCAAAACAATGTCATCTCAAATCTGTCGCTAAACAATCTCAAATCTGTCGGAGAAACAATGTCATCTCAAATCTGTCAGCTAAACAATGTCATCTCCAATCTGTCGGCTAAACAATCTCATCTCATCTCTGTCAGCTAAACAATATCATCTCAACTCTGTCAGCTAAACAATGTCATCTCAACTCGGTCCGCTAAACAATGTCATCTCAACTCTGTCGGCTAAAAAATCTCATCTCAACTCTGTCAGCTAAACAATTTCATCTCAACTCTGTCAGCTAAACAATGGCATGTCAACTCTGTCAGCTAAAAAATGTCATGTCAACTCTGTCAGCTAAACAATGTCATCTCAAATCTGTCAGCTTAACAATGTCATCTCAACTCTGTCAGTTAAACAATGTCATCTCAAATCTGTCAGCTAAACAATATCATGTCAACTCTGTCAGCTAAACAATGTCATCTCAAATCTGTCAGCTAAAAAATTACATCTCAACTCTGTAAGCTAAACAATGTCATGTCAACTCTGTCAGCTAAAAAATGTCATGTCAAATCTGTCAGCTAAACAATGTCATCTCAACACTGTCAGCTTAAAAATGTCATCTCAACTCTGTCAGCTTAGCAATGTCATGTCAACTCTGTCAGCTAAACAATGTCATCTCAACTCTGTCAGCTAAATAAAGTCATCTCAACACTGTCAGCTTAACAATGTCATCACAACTCTGTCCACTAATCAATGTCATCTCAAATCTGTCGGCAAAACAATCTCAAATCTGTCGGAGAAACAATGTCATCTCCAATCTGTCGGCTAAACAATCTCATCTCATCTCTGTCAGCTAAACAATATCATCTCAACTCTGTCAGCTAAACAATGTCATCTCAACTCGGTCCGCTAAACAATGTCATCTCAACTCTGTCCACTAATCAATGTCATCTCAAATCTGTCGGCAAAACAATCTCAAATCTGTCGGAGAAACAATGTCATCTCCAATCTGTCGGCTAAACAATCTCATCTCATCTCTGTCAGCTAAACAATATCATCTCAACTCTGTCAGCTAAACAATGTCATCTCAACTCGGTCCGCTAAACAATGTCATCTCAACTCTGTCCACTAATCAATGTCATCTCAAATCTGTCGGAGAAACAATGTCATCTCCAATCTGTCGGCTAAAAAATCTCATCTCAACTCTGTCAGCTAAACAATTTCATCTCAACTCTGTCAGCTAAACAATGGCATGTCAACTCTGTCAGATAAACAATGTCATGTCAACTCTGTCAGCTAAAAAATGTCATGTCAACTCTGTCAGCTAAACAATGTCATCTCAAATCTGTCAGCTTAACAATGTCATCTCAACTCTGTCAGTTAAACAATGTCATCTCAAATCTGTCAGCTAAACAATATCATGTCAACTCTGTCAGCTAAACAATGTCATCTCAAATCTGTCAGCTAAAAAATGTCATCTCAACTCTGTCAGCTAAACAATGTCATGTCAACTCTGTCAGCTAAAAAATGTCATGTCAAATCTGTCAGCTAAACAATGTCATCTCAACTTAGTCTACATGTGTGAACTTCACGGAGAAGATTTTTTTAAGAATCGATTTTCTTAAAGTAAGATGGAAAGTTGGGACTCAGTACTATTTATACTAAATGCCAGTATTACATATTCTAATTACTGCTGAAATGATTTTCCTACTAAAGTAATGGATTGATTTCAGCCCTCTTGTTTTTTCCTTCCTCTTTTCAAAAGGAAACTCTATATTTATCATCCAATCACACTTTGACCACACCCACACCGGAACACAAGCGTTCACAAACCATTACCCTTAATGATTCACCCACCACTTTCTAACCACCTCAGCCATGGTCCACGCCACACCCCACCACATGCCGACCACACCCTACCACAAGCCCACACCACTCTCTATCCACCCCTGCCTCGTCCACGCCACAACCCCACCACATGCCAACCCAACTCCCAACTCCCCCCCCCCCCCCCCCAACCACCCTCCCCTAATTTCAGATGGATAGAGTCGGTCACTAACGCCATTTGATGTCAATAGATTTGCCTGTACATATGTGCATACACGGTCCATGATGGGTCCATGATAGTGTTGTGATCATGTCTATGTGACATTGATGAGCTCTATTTGTCAAGAAGAGTTGAGCCACAACTGAATTAATTGTGTAGTAAACCCATCACTAGTAAGAGTAAATAACCTCTAAATGTCTCTCTTATGTTATCGCATCAGTCAGTTATGGCATAAATAACATATTTTTTAGTAGTGTATATTGCACATCTTTTTTATTAGAGTAAGTACGGTAGTCCGTTTGGTGTGTCACGATCTGCCCGCAAGATGCTTACTCGTTTCTTGAACAGTTCAAATACTGATATAACTTATCTTATTTTCTAAGGTAGCATTCTCCGAGTGAAGGCGGTGTGATTAAACGACTAGTCTAGTGCACCGCAGAAAGGTGGCTGCCAGTGACAGATTCTCCCCTGCGTTGATACGACAAAGTGTCTCTAATTTTTATCTTCGGTATCCGATGGTCTACTTTATTCACTCGTCATACTCTCGTATCAGGCAGTCACTCCAGTTGAGCGTGTTGCCTATCACGAGACGGTTGGTCTAATATTAGATCCAAAAGATAATTTCACACGAATCAGGAACCATATTATACGAGCATGGGGTCGGTTTAGGTTCATCTCTTGTACAGGAACCATATTATACGAGCATGGGGTCGGTTTAAGTTAATCTCTTGTAGATATATTTTGCTTCTGGTGTGTCCTGCTTTCTCTTGAAACCACCCCCCCCAGCTCCACATGTTTTATATCCATGGTACTAGGTGAGGAAAGAAGATGGCACGCAACGAAAGTGTTGAACTCCGGTAAATAGCTGGGTTATTTTCTTGAGGGGGAGCGACTATTATATTGATCACTAAAGAGCCACGGGTTTGGTGTAGGACTGTCTGTAGGACTATTGTTTAAAGACTGGCAGGTAGGGTGTAGGACTGTCTGTAGGACTATTGTTTAAAGTCCGGCAGGCAGGGTGTAGGACTGTCTGTAGGACTATTGTTTCAAGACCGGCAGGTAGGGTTTAGGACTGTCTGTAGGACTATTGTTTCAAGACCAGCAGGTAGGGTTTAGGACTGTCTGTAGGACTATTGTTTAAAGACCAGCAGGTAGGGTTTAGGACTGTCTGTAGGACTATTGTTTCAAGACCAGCAGGTAGGGTTTAGGACTGTCGGTAGGACTATTGTTTAAAGACCGGCATATATTAGAGAACATGAAATGGTAACTATTTTTTGTAACACTTGGACCCACCGGCCATTTTCTCAACATATCCTCGGACCCTGTGTCTAAATGTGCACCGGGCTAAATGGCCTGGTCTCTAATGTTACAGAGCAAACGTGGTGGATGCACTTCTGACAGAGACCAATTACAACGCCACTCCCCCCCTAAAAAAATATTTTGAAATATCACAATCAGTTTTTCCAGTGATTAATTAATACTAAGGCTGCAAAAACATTGTTGTTTGATAATGTGCCTCGGCCCATAGACTAGAGACATATAGTACAACCAATAGAAGAAGTCTTTGAATCGTCCACCCCCCCCCCCATACAAACACACTAAAGTAATCAAGAGAGCATATTTTATATATGGTTGGGTGGTATGTGTGTTGAGCTGGATGCATAATCTAATGGTATCAAAGCTTGCTTAAGACCTTGATCATTTCCCTCAATGTCTTTTTTTTCAGGTTTACGGAGTCAGATCCATTTCTTTGGTGAGTTCATCCCCTCGTTTGAGAATCCCCGCAGTGACATTCAATTTTTCAAACTCGACGTTATCATCACGCTGTCAGATACATTTCTGTCCACAAAGATAAACACACCACAACATCGCCTCATTTATCATTCACACCTGTTGTCTGTGGTGACAGACCATGTTTACAAACCATCCGTCCTCAGGTGCAACCATGGCCAGTGTAGCGGCTTTGCTTGTTTTGGTCACAATCACACAGGCGTGAGTACGAATTCCATTCCTTTGGTCACAATCACACAGGCGTGAGTACGAATTCCATTCCTTTGGTCACAATCACACAGGCGTGAGTATGAATTCCTTTGGTCACAATCACACAGGCTTGAGTATGAATTCCATTCCTTTGGTCACAATCACACAGGCGTGAGTATGAATTCCATTCCTTTGGTCACAATCGCACAGGCGTGAGTATGAATTCCTTTGGTCACAATCACATAGGAGTGAGCATGAATGCATTTGGTCGCAATCACACAGGCATGAGTATGAATGCATTTGTTTACAATCACACAGGCGTGAGTATAAATGCATCTCCTTGCGTGATCTACCCTACATTCCAACTTATGGTGATATAATAACTCTGATGAACGCTCCAAAAAGAGCAAGACTTGGAATGTGACTTTCTTGGCATAAGTTTTGTTCTTTTAGTGTTACATTTCGGTTTAATTTTTTTTTTAAATAAATTTATAGAAGCACAATTGTCTTCCGGTTTTAACTGTAAATAATATCGGGGGTGGGGGGTATGTGCCCCTAAGCATTTTACCCGATCTATTTCTTTTGTTAGTGAATGAATGTATTTATGCTGAAAGTTTTTTTTTAATCAGCGATGTTAAAAAGAAGATAATTTTTCAAAACAAAGAATCAAGCTTCCAACGTCTTTTTGAAGTCTCTCTACCACAGCCATCCATTTAGAACTAAATCTACGCTAATGGGACTTCGTCTCTCTACCACAGCCATCCATTTATAACTAAGTCTACGCTAGTGGGACTTCGTCCCTCTACCACAGCCATCCATTTAGAACTAAGTTTACGCTAGTGGGACTTCGTCCCTCTACCACAGCCATCCATTTAGAACTAAGTCTACGCTAGTGGGACTTCGTCCCTCTACCACAGCCATCCATTTAGAACTAAGTCTACGCTAGTGGGACTTTGTCCCTCTACCTCAGCCATCCATTTAGAACTAAGTCTACGCTAGTGGGGCTTCGTCCCTCTACCAAAGACATCCATTTATAACTAAGTCTACGCTAGTGGGACTTCGTCCCTCTACCACAGCCATCCATTTAGAACTAAGTCTACGCTAGTGGGATTTCTGGTTATAAGTTGTATCGATTGTCTCTCCGCATTCTTGGCTTATATATACCGAGAAATTTCCGAGCAGTGAGAGAGATTTTTGCTAACTTCCCTAGCCCTTTTCGAGACATGACATAGATCTAATTGTAAGATGGTTCTCTTTATGTGTGTAAATTAATACTTTTTTTAAAAAAATATTTGACAATTGTTTCTTTTCACTTGATATGCTGTACGTAGATGTAGTGTTTTTTTTTCTGTATAATTAAAATTATAATTTTTTAGAAATAGAATTGTATGATTACCTTGGGATATTGTAAGTCTCACTAACTTTGGTTTCATTTTCTTTGTTTACTGGTTCTCGGTCCTTTGTTACGTAGAGTTCATTCTTCGAGACAACTCTGAACACAGATGAAATGTTCAACCACTTTTACAAAACAACATTTAGTTTCCTCGGTTCATAAAAGAATTGTTGATAATAAACCCTTTCATATTAACCTCTCTTTTTTTTGTTCGGGATTTTCTGGCTGGCAAAATCTTCAGATGGCTCATTGACACGCTTCCGGTCAACCTACTGAGCTGAAACTTGGCACACACAGTGTCCTTGATGAACACAACACATTCTATCAAATATTCAACCCCAACCCCCACCCCCCAAAAAATAATCAGCTTTTCGTGGGGAAGATGGAGAAAATATGACGTCACTGATTTTACGAAATAAAATTCCCGATAACTGCGATTTAAAAATATCAAAAGTGCGTTAGGTGTGTCATGTTTTCTTTTGTTGTTTTTTCCTGGAAAAGTTGGTAAAATATTTATGCTGTGATCAAGTGAGTGGGTCATTGGAACATTAACATTTTTTAAAAATCATACAAAATGCATTTAATGAATTTATTCGAAAAGCTATGTTTTTCAAGCCTGTTGAATTTTTATATGAGCTCTGTGTTATAAATCATTTATTAAGGAATATGAGCAAACAATGAATTAATTCTTGTCTGGAACCACTGAATGGTTTAACTTTACTTCCAATATTTCATTGAGCATGTAATCCAATTATCCTTTCAGCGCTCGCCAGTATCCAGAGAGCCACACACATGAGGCTGTCAGCTTGTTCTCATCCTGGAGATTAAAGTACAACATCACCTACCGTCACGATGAAGTCTGGCACAGGTAAGAACGTGTACAGTAACAGTACAACATCACCTGCCGTCATGATGAAGTCTGGCACAGGTAAGAACTTGTACAGTAACAGTACAACATCACCTGCCGTCATGATGAAGTCTGGCACAGGTAAGAACTTGTACAGTAACAGTACAACATCACCTACCCGCATGATGAAGTCTGGCACAGGTAAGAACTTGTACAGTAACAGTACAACATCACCTACCCGCATGATGAAGTCTGGCACAGGTAAGAACTTGTACAGTAACAGTACAACATCACCTACCCGCATGATGTTGTACAGTAACAGTACAACATCCCCTACCCGCATGATGAAGTCTGGCACAGGTAAGAACTTGTACAGTAACAGTACAACATCACCTACCCGCATGATGAAGTCTGGCACAGGTAAGAACGTCTACAGTAACAGTACAACATCACCTGCCGTCATGATGAAGTCTGGCACAGGTAAGAACGTGTACAGTAACAGTACAACATCACCTACCGTCATGATGAAGTCTGGCACAGGTAAGAACTTGTACAGTAACAGTACAACATCACCTACCGGCATGATGAAGTCTGGCACAGGTAAGAACTTGTACAGTAACAGTACAACATCCCCTACCGGCATGATGAAGTCTGGCACAGGTAAGAACTTGTACAGTAACAGTACAACATCCCCTACCCGCATGATGAAGTCTGGCACAGGTAAGAACTTCTACAGTAACAGTACAACATCACCTGCCGTCATGATGAAGTCTGGCACAGGTAAGAACGTGTACAGTAACAGTACAACATCACCTACCCGCATGATGAAGTCTGGCACAGGTAAGAACGTGTACAGTAACAGTACAACATCACCTGCCGTCATGATGAAGTCTTGCACAGGTAAGAACGTGTACAGTAACAGTACAACATCCCCTACCGTCACGATGAAGTCTGGCACAGGTAAGAACGTGTACAGTAACAGTACAACATCACGTGCCGTCATGATGAAGTCTTGCACAGGTAAGAACGTGTACAGTAACAGTACAACATCACCTACCGTCACGATGAAGTCTGGCACAGGTAAATTGAGACTGATAGTTAACTCCAATTATTCATTTAGTGTAAGACAACAGGACTGGTGGTTGGTATAGATTAATTTATGTTCTAGCCAAGAGTTTATTAGACTTTGTCATTTAGTTTGATGTGCCCTATGTCTCATGTACAATATGTTCACGTACACTATGTCTCAGGTACAGTGAGTTTCATGTACAATATACATCAGGTACAATATGTTTCAGTTACAATATGTTTTAGTAACAATATGTTTCAGTTACAATATGTTTCAGTTACAATATGTTTCAGTTACAATATGTTTCAGTAACATTATGTTTCAGTTACAATATGTTTCAGTAACAATATGTTTCAGTTACAATATGTTTCAGTTACAATATGTTTCAGTAACAATATGTTTCAGTAACAATATGTTTCAGTAGCAATATGTTTCAGTTACAATATGTTTCAGTAACAATATGTTTCAGTAACAATATGTTTCAGTTACAATATGTTTCAGTAACAATATGTTTCAGTTACAATATGTTTCAGTAACAATATGTTTCAGTTACAATATGTTTCAGTATAATATTTATTAGTTACACTATCTTTCCGGTACACTATCTTCAGATACATTGATTTTCAGGTACAGTGTGTTTTTGGCCAACTTACAAAAAATAAACGCGTTAAACAGTCGACCTTCCCCAAGTGATGACGCAGCCAGGTTTGGACTTGGCCCATTCACTGACCTGACCACAGAAGAGTTCCATAAGACGGTTCTCATGCCCTACAGAAAGATAGAGAATGGGCCGAGGAGGGTAACTCTTTTTAGTTGATATTACTCTAATCAAAACCATTTTCTATCATAAACCATTATTTGTTATTTCTCTAAAGCTAAACCCTTTTCTATTACAAAATTGAAGTTGTTGTCATGAGTTTGTTCGCATTATCTGAATAATTTCTGTTAAATGATGTAGACAGCAAGACGCTTGGGGGGGGGGGGAACGGGGTTAGGGTAGCTGTCTGATCTTTTAATCCAGGTTCATTTCATGAGTAAAATAATGAGCAGTGACGTAACGAGGAGTGTGTCACCTTAAAGCACGGTATACATCTACATCAACAGGTGCGCGACTACAACAGCACACTGAAAGCAGATCCAGTTTCTTTTGACTGGACCAACCAGCCTGGAGTGGTCACTCGGGTCAAGGACCAAGGTCGTGTCGGGACATGCTGGGCATTTGCTGGGGCCGCCAACGTCGAGGTGAACTATGACCTTTTGGGGTGAACTATGACCTTTTGGGGTGAACTATGAACTTTCGGGGTGAACTATGACCTTTTTGGGGTGAACTATGACCTTTTTGGGGTGAACTATGACCTTTTGGGGTGAACTATGACCTTTTGGGGTGAACTATGACCTTTTGGGGTGAACTATGACCTTTTGGGGTGAACTATGAACTTTTGGGGTTTGGATATCATTTTATGGAAAGAATGATTTTAAAAAATTTCTTAGAACATAAATTCTGCGGCAAAGCTGTCATCTGGTACAATTGTCATTGATCTACACGTTGTACAACTGCCATTAAGTCTACATCTGGTACAAAACATTATTACTTCTATATCTGGTACGATTGTCATCAATCTATACCTTGCACAACTGCCATTAAGTTTAAATCTGGTACAAACGTTATTAAGTCTACATCTGGTACAACTGTGATTTAATAGACATCAGACATCATGTCCTTTGTGGAGCTAAATTGTATAAAATTTATAACATTTCAATGGGGATGAGTGTTTTCATTTTAAATGACTTACCTCACCATTTATTTCTTTCAGGAAGCTCTTTTTTTTTTACAAATGAACCTAGACCTATTCTTCAGTCAATTAAAATTAGCTAAAAGACATCATTATATGATTTTTTTTTTATGATTCGAGTAGTAGCCTTGACTTGAGCTGGGTTTTGTTAAAAGGACAGGAGAGTTGCTCAATTCATCAGCCTCACTCTCTCGTCCGTGCCTATAGGATCCAACGGCAAGACTCAGACAAGACGACTGGAAGTAGACCTGCATGCCGTAGATGACCAGCAGTGCTTCTTATGTCTCACTGAGCTTTTCATGCGTGCCACGTAGCAGGCGTTGTCGGACTTCTAATTGTGTCAATGGCATGCCGCCTACGGGACTCCATATCAGAGTTGCCTTCTTTTAGATGAGTTGACATCCAAAGTTAACGAGTCCTGTCTACCCGGAGAGCTGGTGTCGTTGATGCTTGTCTAGGCTGGGTATTGAACTCCAGTCCATAAGCTTGGGATTGACTCGGCCACCCAGCACCCTGTGGTCATGCATTAAAATGTCAAGGTTACATCGGTCAAGAAAAAAGCCATTAGATATTTTATGGTCATGACAAAAGCCATTAGAAATTTTATGGCCATGGCAAAAGCCATTAGAAATTTTATGGCCATGACAAAAGCCATTAGAAATTTTATGGCCATGCCAAGAGCCATTAGTTTAGACCGCTCGGCCACAATTTTCTCTGTGCACCTAGCGCACATCTACAAGATCATTGCGTTTTGGTATACCAGCGTGCAAGAGTCAGCGCGAGTATACCAGCGTGCAAGAGTCAGCGCGAGTATACCAGCGTGCAAGAGTCAGCGCGAGTATACCAGCGTGCAAGAGTCAGAGCGAGTATACCAGCGTGCAAGAGTCAGAGCGAGTATACCAGCGTGCAAGAGTCAGCGCGAGTATACCAGAGTGCAAGAGTCAGCGCGAGTATACCAGCGTGCAAGAGTCAGCGCAAGTATACCAGCGTGCAAGAGTCAGCGCGAGTATACCAGCGTGCAAGAGTCAGCGCGAGTATACCAGCGTGCAAGAGTCAGAGCAAGTATACCAGCGTGCAAGAGTCAGCGCGAGTATACCAGCGTGCAAGAGTCAGAGCAAGTATACCAGCGTCCAAGAGTTAGCGCGAGTATGTTCAAAGACGCTATAGCAATTGATATCGTTTAATTGGTCAGTGGCATTGCGGGCTTTTGGCAACTGGTTAAATGACCGGTCACTTGTTAATTCACTGGTCACGTGTTAAATGACCGGTCGCTTGTTAATTCACTGGTCACGTGTTCAATGACCGGTCGCTTGTTAATTCACTGGTCACGTGTTAAATGACCGGACACGCGTTGTGTGGTCAGGTTGTTATTTGTTGTTTTTTTTTCTTTGACGTCCAGGGTCTGTGGGCGATCAAGACAGGAAACCCCAGCGCGGAACTGTCCACTCAAGCACTCAATGATTGTGACGGCCTGCACGACGTGAACCTCCAGGCGTTGGCTTGTGGCCCCCTCGGGGCGACCATGCCAGGCTTCTACGAGTTTGTCATTGTGAGTTGACGGCAGTGTAGACTGGAGATGACTCGCGGCAATCCTAGTCAAGTGTTCATTTTAATTATATCCAGATAACACGGTGTTAAAATTTGCTTACACAGCAAAGTGTTAATTTTAAATGTGTTTATACAACACAGTGTTAATTTTAAATGTGTTTATATACCACAGTGTTAATTTTAAATGTGTTTATATAACACAGTGTTCATTCAAAATATTTTTACACAAACAGTGTTAATTTTTAAATGTGTTTATAATATTTATAAATATAACAGTGTTAATTTGAAACGTGCTATAATAATAAGCATGTTGTGTGTATGTGTGAGTGTGTGTGTGTGAGTGTGTGTGTGTGAGTAAAATTTTATTTCAAATATTGGTTTGCAATTTTGTTTAAATTGACCATAATTATGTGTGTTATTTTTAAAATTGTCTCATCTGGTTCAAAAAATCGTTTTAAGATAATTGTTGTCTCCATGATACGTCTTGGGTTTGAGACAGGAGATCTTCAAGTGCATTCTTGTATTTTACGCGTCATTAACACACGCTGAGACATACATTGCTTGACGTCATATTACACCCATGGAGACATACATTGCTTGACGTCATATTACACACATGGAGACATACATTGCTTGACGTCATATTACACACATGGAGACATACATTGCTTGACGTCATATTACACAATTGGAGACATACATTGGTTGATCTCGTATTACACACATGGAGACATACATTGGTTGACGTCATATTACACACATGGAGACATACATTGGTTGACGTCATATTACACACATGGAGACATACATTGCTTGACGTCATATTACACACATGGAGACATACATGGGTTGACGTCGTATTACACACATGGAGACATGCATTGCTTGACGTCATATTACACACATGGAGACATTACATTGGTTGACGTCGTATTACATACATGAGACACATTGGTAGATGTCATATTACACACATGCAGACATTACATTGGTTGACGTCATATTACACACATGGAGACTTACATTGGTTTAACTTGTCTTTAACAGAGTGAAGGTGGTTTGATGACATGGGAAGACTACCCGTACTGTGTTGGATATGGAGAGTGCTCCCCATGCGCTCCCCCTGACTACAGGTAACATCCAAAACTATACTTACGGTTCTCAGTCTTTTACTCGCCAATGGTCACAGGAACAGTGGCGGAGCGAGGCAGGTGCGGGGGGGGGGGGGGCGGACCGCACCGGGTGACACCATTTTAGGGGGGACACAAGATTGAAAAATTGCATATTTACAGGGCACCCATTGCTCGCAAAGATCGAGATTCATAAAAGAATAACCTCTTACGGTTCTCAGTCTTTTACTCGCCAATGGTCACAGGAACAGTGGCGGAGCGAGGCAGGTGCGGGGGGGGGGGAGCGGACCGCACCGGGTGACACCATTTTAGGGGTGGCACAAGATTGAAAAATTGCATATTTACAGGGCACACATTGCTCGCAAAGATCGAGATTCATAAAAGAATAACCGATCACACATATATTTTTCACAAATGTAATCAATCCAAATGCGTGCTTGATTAAAAGTTCAAGGTTGATGCTATACTGTGGACTTTTTTTAACAAGGAAAAAATCGATCATAGAAGTTTGGGGGGGGGGGTGACACCATGAGTTTACTGCACCGGGTGACACCAACCCTAGCTACGCCACTGCACAGGAAACAAACTGGGAATTTTATGTTAATTTAACTAAACATTTATTAAAATTCTACGCTGAGAGGAAACATTACAAAAAGTAATGGAAACCACCCAGTAATAAAGTAATGGAAAGCACCGAGTGATAAAGTAATGGAAAGCAACCATTGATAAAGTAATGGAAAGCATTCAGTGATAAAGTAATACAGAGTGCCAGTTAGAAAATCATAGAAAGCACCCAAGAATGAAATCATAGAAAGCACCCATTAATAAAGTGATGGAGAGCATCCAGTAATAAGCAATGTAAAGTACCGTATCCAGTAATAAAGCAATGAAAAGCATTCAGTAATAAAGCAATGGAAAGCCCCCAGTAATAAAGCAATGGAAAGCACCCATTAATAAAGCAATGGAACACACTCAGTAATAAAGTAAGTGAAAGCAACCATAAATAAAGCAATATAACGAAACCAGTAGAGATTGTCATGAAAATCAGGTCATCAACTTTAAATTATGAAATGTGCGTGTACAGTAATGTCCACTTGACTCGTCTGCTAAAATCATGTCAAATAAATTATTGTTAGTGCAATAGAGTTGATCCATTTAAAGCAGCTGTTCTCAACCTCTGAGTCGCGACCCCTCTGGGAGTCGAACGGCCATTACCAAGGGGTCACCCAAGAACATCGAAAAACATATATTTATGAAGTATCAACGAAAATAAAATTATGGTTTGGGGTCACCACAGCATGAGGGGTTGTATTAAAGGGTCGCGGCATTGGGACGGTTGAGAACTGCTGATTTAAAGCTTCACAAATGAAGTTTCTTCGCTGGTTATTTCCCCTTGGACACACGACTCGCATTTCCATTTTCGTGGGGTATACAGGCCCCATCCCCACTCTCCACCCCAACACCCCACTCTCACTCTCCACCCCCTCCCACACTCTACCCCTACTCTCCATCCCCCAACCCACGTTCACCCCCACGCCACACCCCATGCCACACCCATTTTTCTACCTTTCTTCCACCCTTTTCCACCTATTTTCCTTATATTAAATGAAAATGGTTTTGTTAAGGTCTTGCCGAAACTTGTACAAGGCAGAAAATTTTGAGTATTCACTAAGTCATTCATTAATCTAATTTGCATAATAAGTTCGTGTACGTCCTTTCCCAGCGCCTACTACTGCGGTGCTGACTGGCCCATTGCCCCATGCTCCAAACAGGACAGCTGCAAGGCCAAGTACGACAACACCAAGTTTGTCCCAGGTCTCAAACTCTCCAGTTATCTGTCGTTCAGCAGCAATGAGGCCGACCTGCTCAAGGATTTAGTAGATGTAGGTCACAAGCTGTTACCACGTGTAAAGAGGAAAGCTAGAAATTGAAACAAATGGCATTGAAATCTTAAATATAGTGGGGGGGGGGAAGAATTTTTGTATTGAAATGACGCTGGCGATTTTGGGGGATAATTGCGATTTTTAGAAAGCTTCTTTAACTTTGTTTACCGTAACTTTAGAATTTATATTCCCCCCCCAGGGGGGGGGAGAATTTTTGTATTGAAATGACGCTGGCGATTTTGGGGGAAAATTGCGATTTTTTGGGGGCAGACTGGAGATTTTGTGGGAACTGAAGATTGTGGGGGAACTGAAGATTGTGGGGGGGAACTGGAGATTTTGGGGGAACTGGAGTTTTTGTGGAAGAAAGGAGATTTTGGGGGAACTGAAGATTGTGGGGGAACTGGAGATTTTGGGGAGACTGGAGATTTTGGGGAGACTGGAGATATTTGGGAGGCTGCAGATATTTGGGAGACTGGAGATTTAAGGGGAGACTGGAGATTTAAGGGGAGACTGGAGATTTAAGGGGAAACTGGAGATTTAAGGGGAAACTGGAGATTTAAGGGGAGACTGGAGATTTAAGGGGAAACTTGAGATTTAAGGGGAGACTGGAGATGTAAGGGGAAACTGGAGATTTTTAGGGAGGCTAAAAATGGGCGTGGCCTAATGGAGATGTTGTCCATTTCCGGACATCCAATAGTTGGAACATCATTAATTCAACAAGATTTAGTGACAGTTTGTTGTATCCATACTTCATGTTAGTATTACGTTTAAGCCCCAAAGCTTTATAATAGAGGTTCTCAAGCGATAGTGTTATTTATTTATTGTTATCCATTTATTTTTAAGTTTCCCCTCCAATAAAGTTTCTCAAACGTATATCTGTATTTGTTTCAGACCGGCCCACTCGTGGCCGGCATAGATGCCGCTGACCTGCAGCACTATGAGTCTGGCATCCTGGAGCCGCTCACGTGCAGCGCCGCGAGCCTCAACCACGCGGTGCTGCTGACCGGATACGGCGCGTCTACGGAAGGAGAGAAATATTGGCGCATCAAGAACTCCTGGGGCACCCAGTGGGGGGAACAGGGCTTTGGGCGTGTACTGCGTGGGTTCGGAGCCTGTGGCATCAACTCAGATGTTTCCTCTGCCATCCTAGGCTGAGGGCTGACTTTGATCAGGTGCAACGACTGCTTATCAGAACATCGTTTTTTCTTAAAAGTAGAAATTTCAGTGAGAAATATGAAATGACACTGACGAAATGCTGATTGTAGCTCCTTGCGTCCTCAATTTATTCCTGAAGTAAACGTATTATTTTATCAAACTAGAAACTAATTCTAAATGTCATCTGTCATGACATCCAATCAAACTTATTATTTAATTGTGTAGCGAAATTGTCGTCCGATGTATTTTTCAGTCATGTGACAGTTCACATCTTCTATAAGGTAGGTCATTAATGGCACATAATAGGTCATTTCTGTCCACAAAAAATGGTCATCTTCGTTATGCCAGTGGTCCCATTTTATCAACGATGGTTCACTCCTTTGGAAGTGGTGCTGCTGATCTGTGCAACTAGTCTCTTGGATGTGTGCGTCGACCTGTGGCCAAAAAAAAGTTCACTGCTCAATAAATATTTGGTGTTGGTTGGTGTTGTTGGTTGGTGTTGTTGGTTGGTGTTGTTGGTTGGTGTTGTTGGTTGGTGTTAATGTTGTTGTTGGCTGTTGGTTGGTGTTGTTGGTTGGTGTTGATGGTGTTGGTTGGTGTTGTTGGTTGGCGTTGTTGGTTAGTGTTGATGGTGTTGTTGGTGTTGTTGGTTGGTGTTATTTGGTTGAAGTTGTTGGGGTCTTTTTATATTTCTGACGTTTGCCAAGCTGTTTTGAACCAACCCATTGCCTCCCCTAATTAAGCTTAACATTGAGACTAAAATTGATCCTTCTGAAGTGGGCTGCAGGTAAAGGGAAACAATTAATGAATACATACACCAACATTTTTAACATGTATAATTTCCCTTGCAGATGACCAGTGAGCATTCAACATGAATTGCGTACATTACGTACGTTGTACATGATCATCTATGCTATACAGAATTAATATTTTTTTTGGTCTCCCCTTCAAAAAAATTATTTTGATTTATTTTATTTTTTATTGTGATTTTATATTTTTTTTATAGACTTCAAAATTGTACTTTCATTTTCAGATTTTCAGGGAGCATTAGTATTCTGATGAATTCAATTTAGAAATATATTTTGTAATTACAAATATTATTCATGTAGCTTTGAAGTTTGTTAACATTGAGAGAGAGAGAGAGAGAAAGAGAGAGAGAGAGAGAGAGAGAGAGAGAGAGAGAGAGAGAGAGAGAGAGAGAGAGAGAGAGAGAGAGAGAGAGAGAGAGAGAGAGAGAGAGAGAGAGAGAGAGAGAG